CCAATACCATGCTGTCTTGATGATTACAGCTTTGTAGTAGAGGCTAAAGTCTGGGACTGTGATGCCTCCCACTTTGGTCTTCTTCAAAATTACTTTGGCTATTCGGGGTCTTTTATGGTTCCATACAAATTTTAGGATTGCTTGTTCTAGCTTTGAGAAGAATGCTGGTGCAATGTTGATTGGGATTACATTGGATGTGTAGATAGCTTTGGGTAGTATTACTTGACAGCACATGATCTCTTTTCTTAAGACATTCCTCTGTCTTTCGTTCTTCCTCCACCACTGAGCCGAGAGCAAATCAAAGGCAGAGACTGAGTTTCACCCATCTTTGTATGCCCAGCACCTTGCACACAGTAGGGGCACTACCCACTAGATCTTTAGTAAACTGGAAAAGAAATTTCATAATAGGTGATTCCTGCCTGCATGAGACCTGCTTTCTCAAGAGACAGAGCTGTACTTAAGAGTGTTTTTAAAAAAAATTTTTTTAATGTTTATTTAATTTTGAGAGAGAGAGAGAGAGACAGAGCATGAGCCGGGGAGGGGCAGAGAGAGAAGGAGACACAGAATCTGAAGGAGGCTGCAGGCTCTGAGCTGTCAGCACAGAGCCGGACGCGGGGCTAGAACTCACAAACCGCGAGATCATGACCTGAGCCGAAGTCGGACGCTTAACCGACTGAGCCACCCCAGCACCCCGGATTAGAGAGTCTCTTTATGGACATGCCTTCAACACCGTGGCCAGCGGTCACCAATGCAAGGTGTGTTCTTGCTTGTAACTTGTAAAATCCTTGCTGAAATGGACTCCAGTGCTCCAGACTCCCCTACCTCTGTTTCTGAGTTGAATTCAACCAGATGAAAGGTTTTCAGACAGAAGAGAAATACAAAAGTATCTCCTGCTTCAACCAAGCATGCATTTTTAAGGAGAATGACAAAACATTTCATTTGGATAAGAAAATTCTGTCCTGCGATGCGACAGATTAAAATTTGATGCTCTTGAATCTGAGGGGGAAAAAGTGAAAGCACCGCTTTGATCAGACCTTATCCACTGCTGCCTTGAATTGTAGCGGTCGTACCTTCCCAATCTGCATTTGAGGCATTTCAGAATTCTTTTGCACGCCTCGTGTGATTTGGCCCGGGTCATAGATCCATGTAATAATCCGTGCCTCTTGAACTAGACATGATGGGGGTGACTCTCCTCATTTTTTAGAAGGGGAACCAAAATACAAGAAGTGAAATGACTTTCCCAAGGTCACACAGCAGAACAGTCGAGACCAGCATTCTTTGGTGCAATCTGCGGTCTCCCCTCTTTTTTTCCTTTTTTTCTGGAAAATTTCAAACATATACAAAAGTTCATGGAATGTATAATGAGCTCACAGCTTCGACAGTCATTAACTCATATGTCTTTTCCCACTTATCTCCCTATTGATTTTGCTCATGGCTCTTTCCCACTTTGAGGCAAATTCTAGATGTCCTGCTGTTTCATCTGTAAATGCTTCAATATGCGCCCAAAAGATAAGAGAATGTTAACCTCATCACAATGCTATTAAGCACTTTAAAAAAGAAAGTGGTGCTTCTTTAACACCGTCAAAACCTCTAGGCAGTGTTTCAGTTTCTTAATTGGTTTATAATTATATTTTTAAGTTTGTTTATTTAAATTGGAATGCAGATAAAATGCACATATTGCCATGGGTTGGTATGTCTCTTAAGCCTTTTTTAATTTAATTAAAAAAACATTTTTTTTAATCTTTGTTGATTTTTGAGAGAGAGAGACAGAGTGCAAGTGGGGGAGGGGCAGAGAGAGAGGGAGACAGAATCCCAAGCAGGCTCCAGGCTCTGAGCTGTCAACACAGAGCCCAACGTGGGGCTCGAACCCACGAACCATGAGATCATGACCTGAGCCAATGGCACATGCTTAACTGACTGAGCCACCCAGGCGTCCCTGTTTTTTCTTTATTGGTAGTTACATTTAGAAACGGCCAGACTTAGGTTCAGTTTTTTTCTACGAAACTATATTATTGGTTGGTTTTGTGAATAACTGTTAACAGGCACATAATACCTGCTTATCTTTTTGTCTGCTAGCAGCTATTGACAAGAATAGCCTCTGTTCACTTATTTTATAGGTGGTGATATCTCAATTCTGTCAATACTCCGTAATTCATTGGCTGGAATACAATTTGAAGGAGAACCTTCTCCTCCAAGTACAGCTCATAAAGCAAAAGTAGGATAAGTGCTTAATTCTTTCCCTATAAATGCCTTCCCTGTAAGTTTCCCAGTCTGTTCCCAAACACCATCCAGAGATGATCAGTGAGGTCTTGTGTCCTAAGTGTCGTTGTGAACTGATGCATTCTGCCACATTTCCTGTGTTGCAATCCACGGCAATCATCATTCTTATTAAAGCTCAATCAGGGGTGCCTGGGTGGCTCCGTCGGGTAAGCGTCTCACTTCAGCTCAGGTCATGATCTCGTGGTTTGTGGATTCAAGCCCTGCATCCGGCTCTGTGCTGACAGCCCAGAGCCTGGAGCCCGCCTCAGATTCTGTGTCTCCTTCCCTCTCTTCCTCTCTCTTCCTCCTTTTCTCTCTCTCTCTCTCAAAAATAAACATTAAATTTTTTTTTTTTTTTAAAAAGCTCATTTGTCACATCTTTGACACGTGGGAACCTAGTCACATGAGGCCCGTAGTCTCCGGGGGTCTACCTACTTTCTGATCTGAAAGATGTTCCAGGCTTGCACATTTTCTGCCCTAAACTTTAGCCATTTCTGCCAAGAGTGCAAGGTCATTTTTGTAGGAATCGATATTTGGAAACCACGACAGGAAGGCCCACTGCTCTAGATTTTCATTATTTCTAGGCGCTTTTTTTTTTTTTTCCAGTGGGCAAAACTAGGAAGTACCATGAGTTCACGGTGATATTTACAGGCTTTTGGCTTAGACCCATCCATTTTGTATCTCCATCTCCTTTTTCCCTTCCCAGAAAGGCCAGTTGTCAGTGACACCAATGCAATTACCCATTTGCTATACCCTGCAATTCACATGCAGTAGTCTAACGGTAATATGCAGACACTACCACCTACAATATGATTGCTGTAAGCAGTTTTAAGATTCCTTTTGAGTTCTTTTTACGCTCAGAGTATCTCCCTCTCCAAATGTGTCATCAAATTATTGTGTGAAAGACATTTGGAGTATCTCCTCCCAGTGTGCTTATACACGTAGGTTCATTTGCTTGTCTGTTTGTTTGTTTATTCTTACGGAGTCTTTTTAAACGTCTCTTTCGTTTTATAATTGAGTAAAATGTTTCCATGATTCAACAACGGCCAGGTTTATAAAAAAGGATATAATTTTAAAACTTTAAATTCGTTCCTTATTTCTCACTCTACTCCTTCCCTTTCTCATCTCATTGGTAACGAGTTTTTGTATTTTATTTTTTATTCCTCAATTTTCCCATAAAGAAAGAAAAATATATGTGTGTGTGTGTGTGTGTGCGTCTGGAGAAGTCGATGCTCCCATTTTTAGATCAATGGTGACATACTACACACGCTTTTCTCCATGTTGGAGACTAATCCATCAGAGTATAGAGAAACGGTCTTCCTTTTTTTTTTTTTATAAGTTTATTTATTTATTGAGAGAGAGAGAGCAGGAGTCGGGGAGAGGCAGAGAGAGGGAGAGACAGAATTCCAAGCAGGCTCCATGCCATCAGCACAGAATCCAATGCGGGGCTCAAACTCAGGGACTGTGAGATCATGACCTGAGCCGAGATCAAGAGTCAGACGCTTAACCGACTGAGCCACCCAGGTGCCCCAGTCTTCCCTTTTTTTTTTTTCATAGCCGTACACAAAAGTTTATTCAAGCAACAAAATGAACACTTGGGTTGTTTCCAGCCTTTGCTGTTACAAATTCTGCTGAAGGAATAATCTTGTGCCTCTGTCTTTCCATATTTTTACCATCCACTGAGACTTTCACGTAAGACAAAGGAGAGAAACTAGCTGGATGTTTCAAGCCCTTGAATTCAGGGCACGTGTTTGACCAGGCATCATAGGGCTCATTTCTACAGTTAGAGACTTGGAAATAAATGGCATCCCCAAAGCTGTGGTAAATACGGTGTGTGAGAGTCTTCCAGAAAAGAAGCTGTCCACCTTCCAGTGCAGGGACACTGTGACAAAAAGGAGCTAATGATGTGCGTTGAGAACCTACTGTGAGCCACGTGCCTTCTCTGCAACTTGCTGAATAATTCTGCTGCCAGCCCTGCGTGGTCAGCAGTATTCGTCCCAACTTTAAAGATGAGGAATCCGTGAACGGAGTCACAAGTTCAGGTTACAGTGTTTAAATGTGGCACCGGGACTCTAAGCCAAGCCACCTCTGTGTCCCAGCTCAATGCATGATCCTTCCATTGTCACCTCACTCATCCCTTCTCTTGTCTAGTGATGAGGAGCTCAGATTCTGGAGGCGGACTCTGGAGTTAGCTCCAATCCGGGCTTCCCCACTAACTTGGGTGCAACTCTGGTCAAGTCCCTCTAAACCCCGTTTGCTTTAACTGACTCATCTGCAGAATGAGGATGGATCCCGATGACCTCGCTGTCGAGGCCGTTGTGTCATGAAAGGAGTGAACAGATGTATGTTGCTCAGAACAATCCCCGGCACATAGGGAAGCCCCATCTAAGTGTTGGCTGGCTGTGTTATCGGAACCGATTCGTGGGGTCAGCAACACTGACAGAGCATCTGTCCTGCACAGGGCATGTTGCTACATGGTGAGGATATCATTGAGCGGGTACGAGGACCCCTGACCTCTTAGCACCTGCAATCTAGTAGACGACCGAGGCATCCTCAGTAAATCACACAGTCGCAAAGTCACGGGTACCTTAATGGTAGCAAGGGCGCACAGCCCTGTGGAGTCTGATCACCCTCTGATCTCTTGGCATTGCAGAATGCCCCTCAGAACCGTTCGGCTCGGGCTCTGTTTTGTGTGTGACGGGTTCCAGAGAAGCCTTCTCCGCATCCCACGCTGCGTCCCCGAGCCCGTACCCCGAGAGCTCACCTGTTTCCCTTCTCTTCTTTCTCTCTCGTGCCCGGCAGCTGGAGTACACGGCCCGCCTGGACTTCCTTTGGCGAGTGCAGGCCAAAGAGGAGATCAACGAGATGAAGGAGCTCAGGGAGCACAATGAGAACATGCTCCGGAACATTCTACCCAGCCACGTGGCCCGCCACTTCCTGGAGAAAGACCGAGACAACGAGGTGAGCCCGGGCTTGTCCGGCCGCGAGGGAGGGTGGAGGTGGACACACTGGCCCCGGGCTCCGGGAGAGTTCTGCTGTCCTCACGTCGGCACACGAGAACGGAGACCATGCTACAACCCCCAGAGTGCCAGGCTACCCAGGCTGCCTAGCGCCCGTGAGGTTTGCGCCTGGCCTCCCCGACCTCGGGCGTCTCACCTGTAAGATGGACATAATGAGATCACCATTGCGAGACTGGGTTGAAATTTAAGTTTTACGTACGTCTGTGCACATGTTTATGTGTGTGCATGGAGGGGACCCTCCGGCGTCTCCCTCTCTGGGGGTAAAATGTTACCACTGATGTCACCTGCTGATGCGCTGAAGACGTTTGAGTTTGTGACCCTTGCCTGAGGATAGGACTAGGAGAGATCCCAAGGGTCCATTCCCCATCCAAGTCACCGCAACAAGACCAGCGGAAGAGAAGTAAAGGGGGTTAGTACGCTGCTGCTTGAATAGTCTTGATGAACCTGGGTCCCGGAGATCTCCCGGATGCACGTCAAAGCACCGCCCACCCTCCTCAATCAACAGATGAAGCTCTCTGGAATCGGCTTCAAGCCTGGCTTTCTCCGCGCCGCCTAAGGTCAGGGGCTTTGTCGCAAGAGCTTCTCGACAAAGCCAAGGAAGCAGAGAGAACGCAGATGTGCGCCTGCTATGACCACCGGCAGGAGCAGCGAACACGCTGGAGCCCTCAGAGGGAAAACCAGAAGAGAAATTAAAAGAAAGCCGCCTTTCCGTGAAGACAGCGAATCAATGGGGTAACGGAGGAGCAGGTGGGAGGAGCGAGAATTCACTGGCTTTATCCCGACAGGAAGGAAACCAACCAGAGATGCTGAGACCCCCGGTCAGCAGCTGGGGTCCAGGCCACACCTCCACCGAGCAAAACAAATGACAGGTTTGGGCCTCAATCATATAAGCCGTTTTCAATAAAACGTCGTCACCCTTCTTTGAAGTTTTCAATGTTTAAATAGCTCACCCTTGACCAAGGCTTCAGATTTTACATCGCCTAGAGAACGTTCACGCTGTGGTGACGTACAGTTTCCTGAACACCTGCCGCGGGCCAGGTTCCGATATAGGCAATTGATGTAAATGACCTTCCCTTGTCTTTACATTCTTAAGGGGAGAGTTCGTCACCTCGCGTTAGCAACGAAGAAACTGGGGCCCAGTGAGGTCATGCCCTGCCTCATCTTATGGAAGCAAAGCCATGACTCAAATCCAACCCCTGGGATTTCTTCCCTCTGTGCTGCGCTGCCCCAGCCGTGGGGCAGCCCATGCTGTCTCTGGGGGTTTGGCACAACTATGGGGTGTGTGTGTGTGTGTGTGTGTGTGTGTGTGACAGAGGCAGGACTTCTGTGACCTTCAGGAACTCCCAGTATCTTGTTATTGTGGGGCGTAATGTTAGCTTCTCTTCTTGCTGCAAATCTGAACTACGATACAGACTTCTGAAAAGCTGATTGGGGTTTGGACGTGTGTTTGGGTCCCAGCTTTCACGAGGCCGCCGCAGGGTTCCCGGGTGTGAGTGGTAAAAAAAGATAATGATTATCCCCATTTCGCAGATGGAGAAACTGAGGCTCGCTCAGAGCTAGTGAGTAGCAAGCTTGAATTCACCCCCAGGCCTGTGTGACTTCAAAGCTAAATCTGGTGTTTTGTCCCAAGTTGTTTCTAGGGCATGAGTGGGAGAGAAGGAGCGACAGTGACAAGCAGGGACTCAAACCAACCGGCCACAGGGCCGTGGACAGAGCCTTGCCCCCGGGAACGTCCGGTCTAGTCGGGGCCGGCTCTGTCCCCCAACAGAGGTTCTGGCAGCCTCAGTAGAGGCTGGACTCTGCTGGACTTTGACGTAGCACAGGGCTCACCTCCCCCGGGGCGGGGACTTTGTCACAGATGAGGCCACCTGGGCTGGGTCCTCAGTGTCAGGCAGGCTACTGCGGGGTCCCGGGAAACCCACCTGCTAGTTGCAGCTCGCTGCTGAAAGGACACTAGCAAGAGCAGGTGTCTCAGCCGCTGGGAAGTCCGTACCGCATGAACCCCGTCTCTGGCACTCAGCAGCTGTGTGACCTCGGGCAGCTCACCCAACCTCTCTGAGTCCACTTTTTCATCCAATTTTTGAGGAAACAGTTCCTATCTTGCTGACTTTAGCGTGAGAACGAAGCTGAGTGAGAGCACATCAAGTGCCCCGCGTAGCCTGGCGCTAGGGGGGGGTCAGTGTGGAAGGGCTGTGTGCTTGCCCTCAACAGCCTGACGCTGGACGTTCAATCCCAGCTTCTCCTCTCACGACCTCAGTAACCGAGCAAGTGATGAGCCCCTCTGGACTTCACTTCCCTCACCGACAAAGTGACAGTACGTCCCAACTTAATCCAACAGCTACAACGCTTGTTCACGTGAGTTCTGATGCATAAAGCGTCTCAACGGTGCTTGGCACGTTTTAGGAGCACACCTACAATTTTTTTCCGTTCCTTCGTGATTCCAGTGCCCCACCTGCTCATTCACACCTTCATTTAGCAAGTATTTTTTTAATAAAATTTTTTTAATCCTTATTTTTGGGAGAGAGACAGAGTGCAAGCAGGGGAGGAACAGAGAGAGAGGGAGACACAGAATCGGAAGCAGGCTTCAGGCTCCGAGCCATCAGCACAGAGCCCGACGCGGGGCTCGAACTCTCGAACCGCAAGTTCGTGACCCGAGCCCGACTGTTGGACGCTTAATCGACTGAGCCACCCAGGCGCCCCGGCAAGTTATTTACTGAGAGACATCATATGCCAGGTGTCGTTCCAGATCCTGGGGCTCAAACAGTGAACCAAGACGATGAAGTCCTCGCCGATACGGAGCATGTGTTATAGACATGAACATGCGTGAATGTATATTCAGAGGTGCCCGGTAGTGGTCACTTCTCCGAGGACGGAAGCAGCTGAGTAAGAGAAGAGAGTTATGTGGGGCTGGCCCTGGAGTGTCTCGGAGGTGGTGACGTTTGCACAGAAACCCGAGGACACTAATAAAGTCACCCGGTCTCAGACATTGTTCCTCCCCTGCAGAGAGGTGGCTTAACTTGGTATAAGAAACTCAGGACTTGGAAGGAGGCAGGCCTAGGTTCCCTGGATAAAGAGCCGGCTGAGTCTTCAGCTTGATATCCAGGCGGAGCAGGGGGTGCGCATGTGCTCAAAATCCTCTAGAAAGCCCAGAGCTGTACCTCAATCCAGAGGACAGTGGCACAATAATAGCTTTTCTGAACACTGGGGCTGTCTTTAAAGGTGTAGGCAGGTGGCTGGAGCTTTTCCATGCCCCTCCAACCCCCCACAGCACAAATTCCATCGCTGCTGTTAACCAGCTGTGTGACCTAGGGCGGCTCACCCAACGTCTCTGAGCACATATCCTCATCTGATTAACGGGAGATACTACGGACCTCGCTGAGCTGATGTGGGAATTAAATTGGGTAAGAAGATGTGAAGTGGTCTGTCCAGCCTGGTGCACCCTATGGGTTCAAGGCCACATGGTGCACTTGAAAGCCCAGGGCCCTGGGTTTGGTTCCTCCTGGCCTCTGTGTTCACCAGAGAGCATCTGGCAGAGAGGGGTGAGCCTCCCGCCACCCCAGTCCCACCCGTCCAACCTCCAAGAGGATGGCCAGTCAAGATCCGAACTCAAGTCATATGTCTTGAGGTTTACAGAGACCCTCCTCCACACCCCTTCCCACAGCCACCCTGTGTCAAATCAACCATCCATTCAGAACGACTTACCGGATCTGGTTTCCAGTTCTGGTGACATTTCCCTTAGGCATTATCCTGATTACTACTGTTTTATTGTGGTGATGGTTACCCTCCTGGTGTTGGCTTACTCACGTTAGCATTCGTAGCAGCAACAGTGGGGGCTCTGGAGTCCGACTGCCTGGGTGTGAGCTCCAGCTCTGTGTCTTTTTTTTTTTTTTAAGTTTATTTTATTTTGAGAGAGAGAGAGAGAGAGCACAAATGGGTAAGGGCAGAGTGAGGGAGAGAATCCCAAGCAGGCTCCACAACGCCAGCCTGGATCCGGACACAGGGCTCAAACCCACAAACCATGAGATCATGACCTGAGCCGAAATCAAGAGCTGGACGTTCAACTGACTGCACCACCCAGGCGCCCCTCAACTCTGTGCCTTCACAACCGCGGGTCTTGGATAAGTTACTTAACCTCTACGTGCCTCAGTTTCCTCACAAACAAACCAGGATCTTAACTCCCATCTACACCCTGGGGAAGTGAGGATTCAGTGAGAGGATGTGTGTGGAGCATTCTGTGTCACGCTTGTCCCACAGTAAAGGCTCAGGAGCTGTAGCTGATATTATTAGCATTGTTTGGTTATATAAGCGATCGGAACATTCTCGTTGTTGGCAGAGGCTGGGAGCTGAATCTAAGAGGAGGCTGGAGGGTGGGAGGGGCTAGGATCCATGAGAATGATTGGTAAGAGCCCCCTGGTGACCGGCCCTTACATCACAGCGGCATTTATATCTCCTAGGGGAAGCAGGAGGCAAGCCGGCCAACTGTGTAACTATGGAAAGGGTTTCAGAGGGCTCTGCTGGGGTCTCCTCTTTTCTGTTTTAAACAGAAAATAGTATGAGTGTTAGGGGCTCAGTTGTGTTTCCCACAATTCCTATGTCGAAGTCTTAACCCCCAGCCCTTCCGGATGCAACTCTATTTAGAGATAGAAATTTTAAAGAGGAGATTAAGTTCACATGAAGCCATTAGGACAGGTCCTAATTCACTGTGACTGTGTCCTTCTAAGAGGAAGAGATTGGGACACAAACACAGAGGGAAGGCCGTGTGAGGGCACAGGGAGAAGATGGCATCTACAAGCCAAGGAGAGAGGCCTCAGGAGAAACCGACCCTGACCAGCACCTTGATCTTAGACTTGTAGCCTCCAGAACCGTGGGATGAGAAATTTTTGTTGTTTAAGCCATCCGGTCTGTGGGGCTTTGTTAGAGCAGCCTGAACAAACTAATGTACTAGGTAATAAACACATTTTTTCTTCTCCAAATCACAGCCCTTTGGAGGATGCAGTTCTGTAAGTTCGATTCCTCAGGTTATCTGACCCATCAAGCAGAGTTGGGCTCCTTTTCAGGGATCACTCCGCTGCTCAAGGCCAAGGGGAATGCGGCACCATAGGAAGCTGCATGCCATTGCTCTGCTCCTGGGCTTCGGTCTGTGGTCCCCACACCCTGCCCAGCCCAACCCCCTGCAGCCAGTCACTCCCGCCTGTGCTCTTGGGGACAAGGGCCGGCAAAGGCCTTCATCCAGGCTCATCCGTGCTTGACTGATCTTGAATCAGGGACACTATCTTTCTCTGGGTCTTCCAAGGCTAGTGGTGTTAATCCAGAACAATAGCTTGACCCCTCTCTGTCGTTTTCCTTACCTGTAAAGTGGCAGTAAGAATCAGGGCTCCTTCACAGGATCATTGCAAGGATGAAATCACTGAACTCCTATGAAAGCGCTTTGTGAGCTTTGACGTTTCCTGCCAAGACCGGGGCGGCATTGATTTCCAACAATTTAGAGTGTTTTATCTTGTACCAGACCCTATAGAGGGCACACGCTGTAGTCCAGGCATCCAGAAACTATGAACTGGATGATTTGAACGCACGAAGATGAATGGCCTGGGGTCTTTGCCTTGTGCAACTCACACGAAAGGAAGAGACAGACATTAGGTGATAATGTAGACAGCAAGGGATATAGCACGGCGCTCAGCCTCCTGACGCCATCTGTGGGTCTGAGAAGGTTTCCAAAAGACATGATATCCACATGGCTAGTGATGGCAGAGGAGAAGAGCTAGCCTGGTGAGAGAGGCTAACTGCAGGAAGGAAGGACATATCCCCTTCCCAGGGGTGAGAAGCGCGTTTGTGTCTTCGGCTCTTCCAGAAGCAGACCTTGAGACAAGGATTTGGGTGAAAGTAATTGGCTTGGAGGTGGTCCCAGGAAACCCTGGGAGGCAGGAGAGTGGGAAGGAAGGGAAGAGAAAGTGATAAACGAGGCATTAGCAGACTAGTTACCTCTGTAGGGGACTGGAGCTCAATCCCCCTGGGGATTCCAGGAAATGCAGAGAGCATATCTCACAGCTATCTGGCCCAAGGGCTGAAGGAGCTGAGAAGTATAAGCCAACTGCCATCAGTCACTGGTTGAGAGCAGTACTGTGGGCCTGAATTTCCCGGAGCCATCAGCCCGATGCCAATGGGGGCAGAATGCCCTCTAGTGGTCAGAGAAAAGCTCCACGCCAAGAAACACAAGGGCTCATAGCCGATGGTTGTGAGAGAAGAGGTCAGGACACCTGCAGCATCTTTTGCCATGTGTACCCAAGAATACAATGCTTGGGTGTTTCTGGAACGCGAGGTCTGATGCAGGGAATCATAGGCAATGAAAAGGAAGAGAAAGGTGGAGGCGAGGGCACGAATATATGAATACACGTCATGCTGCTGTGTTTGAGCTTTGTCCTGAGGGCAGTGTGGCCATCGAAGGGTTTTAAGAATGGAAGAGACATGGCCAATATTCTGTCTTTAAAAGATCACCCTGTGTGGGGGGGGGGTGCCTAGGAGGCTCAGCCAATTAAGTGTCCAGCTCAGGTCGTGATTTCATGGTTCATGAGATCAAGCCCTACATCGGGCTCCAAACTGATCTCGCAGAGCCTGCTTGGGATCCTCTCTCCCTCTCTGTCTATCCCTTCCCGCTCATGTGCACACACGCTCTCTCTCTCTCTCTCTCTCTCAAAATAAATAAACTTAAAAACAAAAGATCACTCCGGCCACGATGTGGAACATGCTTCTGGATGGGACAAAACGAGTCAAGGAGTCCAGTGTGGGCGGGAAAGCCGGTGGGCCTGATGAACAGCAAATGGCAGGAGGGGCAGAAAACAACACTGGAGATAAAGAGAAAGCCGGCAACACTTAACAAGTTACTGAATCCAGATGTGATGGAGAGGAAGGGGTCAGGACATCTCCGAGCATCTCTGAGCGTCTCGAACTTTGATGACTCAGCAACACTAGTGCCACCGACTGAGAGCAGGAGGGAGCAGGTTTGGGCGGAGAGAAGATGCACTTGGGTTCAACATGCAGAGCGTGAGGGGTGTGAGGACAACCCAGCTGGAAGCCCAAGAAGGGGGGCCGACTTGAAGATAAGACTTCAGAGGCTGCCCCACTTGAATGTTGGAGAAAGATTGAGAGTAAACAAAGTGGCCCAGGTAAGTGCGCAGACTTTGGACCTGGCAGTGGGTCCAGAACGGAGCCACAGCCATCAGCCACGTTTAAGATGGAAGGTGAGCCCAAAAAAGGCCTCTTTGAGGGAGCCAGGCATAATGGCAGCAAGTATGACATCAGTGAAACAAGGAAGGTCGAGACGCGCGGTCTTGGGAGCAGTCACCACACTCCCCCGCAGAAGCGTCCTCGAAGACATGAAGCGATATCTGTGGGGCGAGTCTTTCCACTTTGGCTGGCAGTCTGACACGGAGCGAACACCGCAGGGGTGGGGACAGGCGGTGGAGAGAACCAGTTTGAGAAGTTTGGACGAGGAGGAAGAGAGACAGGTGGGTGGTCACAGGTGTGTTCGGGCTCCAGGGTGTGTTGTACTTTTCCAAACAGGGGACGTTTGCAGGAGGGGGGGAAGAAGAGGAGGAGGTCGTGGAGGAGAGAAGAAATAAGGAAAAGGATCACTGCGGGAAGAAGTTGCTGAAGAAGGTAGACGCGAGGGCTGTCGAGACGTCAGGTAGAAATGTTGGCTTTCCACAGAAGAAAAATACATCGTCTAGGGTTGAAGCCAAAGGGATGAAAATAAATATGAATGTAGACACGAGTGTAAATACTGGAACAGAGCTGGGTCACTGCCAAGAGCCTCAGTTTCCTGACAGAAGTGAGAGACAAGATCATCTCTTAAGAGGCGTCGTGTGGGGTGTGAAGTTAGGGACAGTGGTGAGGGTTTGGACTTGCTGCTGAGAACAGAGAAGGAAGCTGGCCAGCAACAAAGGATGTGCAGTCAGACCTCTGGGTGCAGCCAAAGCTGGAGACTATGAATTGTCAACGGTCCCATCCACATGATTACTGTTTTGACATGACTGTGCCAGAGCCCCGTTCTCTGCACTCTCTGTGGGTGCCAGTGCATGCGTGCATGGGGAGCATCACTGCAGAACCTCATCTCTGATGACCTTCTGGCTCCCTCCCCCCATGTGTCTCCCTGTCCAGGAGCTGTATTCCCAATCTTATGATGCCGTTGGGGTGATGTTCGCCTCCATCCCGGGGTTTGCAGACTTTTACTCTCAGACTGAGATGAATAACCAGGGAGTAGAATGCCTGCGTCTGTTGAATGAGATCATTGCTGACTTCGATGAGGTAAGTCACAGCCTCAGAAGCCTCCAATCACCAGTGGGCACCACTCTTGTAAAAGCATCATGTCCACCGTAGCAATAGCCATTGTTTGCACTTACAGGACTCCAGGCTGTAGTGTAGACACAAACACGTATTATCTAATTTAATTTTCACAGGAGATAAACACCAGGGTTTCTCCACCTGGGGGATCGAGAGCATAAGCCTCCGTGAGGCTAGGTAATCTAACCCAATGTCAAACAACCATCAAATGGCAAAACCAGGACTTGGAGGCCGCTGCTACTCGGGCACTGGCGTCACAGAGACTGGGCAGTGATGGGGACATTTCTCCGTCTGCTCAAAGTGCCAGAGATAAAACCATCAGTTAGCATTTTGTCCAACCAAGACCTAAACATAAGCGTACGCATAATCCAGATAGTACTTTGTTCTTTTAGTCTCCATGAGTCTGAAGAACACATCACATGGGAGGAGATACTCTTGCTGTACTAAATTTACATTAATAGGCTTGGCAGGAATGATCCTTCCCCACCCCCTCCCCCCACACCTGCCATCTTCTAGCTTGAAGTGGGGCGCCGTTGTCCATCTGTCTGCCCAGGCCTGAGAAGGGAAGTGATTCATTGAGAAAATGCTGAGGAAGAGACCTTGCAAAGATGTGGGTTCAGCTGAAGTCTAGCCTGCTAGCCTGATGCCCGTGGAAATCCAAAAAAGGGCACAGCAGTGCATTATCAGCAGCCAGACCTCATGGCGTTCTTGAGAACGACATGGGTGGGGCACCGGGAGCATTGGTGACGTTACCCATTGTGACATCGTCGCCCTCTCGCTCCACCCCCACGTTCCGTTTAGCTACTGAGCCCCGTGGGTTCCTTTTCGATGGCTCTTTGGTCTGCCCCGTCCTCACTACCACTGCTGCCCTATCCTTGCTTTCCGCCATCTTACTTGTCCCCTGGATGACAGGGGACATCTTACTTGCCCCCTCCTGTATCTCACCTCAGCAGTCACCAAAAGCAAGACTATCTTTTCACATCCCTTTGAAACCTGAAGCCCATCAGTGCCTCCCTTTTCCAGCGCCTCATAAGGTCACCTGAGGCTCTGCACTTGCTTTGAACTCGCTGGTCCTGTACCCTCTCCAGCTTTACCTCCCACTGCGTGCCACCTGCCCCCCACCCCCACCCAAGCACCATCCAGCTACTTACAAGCGCTTACACCCACCTGGCTGTTCACACACTGCCCTTTGTGCCCAGAAGTTATGCCATCGTCACTATACCCTGTCCTCTCTCCCTCAACTCCACGGGCAGCAGAACATGTAACACTCCCTGAACAGTCAATTCAGACATCATCTCTACTTGTGACGCCTCTTCTCATCCCCCTTCTACCCAGCTAAATGTCGTTGCTCTTTTTTCGATGAAAAATGTATACTCTGGAACCTGCCCTCAGAGAGCCTGAAACCCTTCAGTGTGCAAATCTGCCTCCCCCACCAGCCACTTAGTTTGGGGGCAGAGACCCATCTAATTAATATAAATGTTTACCACGTGTTGCCACAAATGCAAAACAAGCTCAAGACATAACACTCAGTTACTTACCCCTCAACAAAACCCACAGGGGGAGAATTATTAGCCTTCGTTTCACAAATAAGCAAAACCGAGGCTGAGAGACAGCAAGAGAGCCCAGGCTGTGCCACCACCAATTGGCCCAGCCAACATTTCCACCCAGGTCCGCCATACTGTTTGGGTTTTTAACCATTAACTGGCCTCTCATGGTTCCAGTTTTGCAGCCAAAAAGGCAACAAGGGCCATTTTGGTTGTCCTAGGGATGGGAATGGGGATCAAGATAAATAAGACACGGTCCCTTTTTGCTTCGCATGGCTTCCCAGTCTAGGGAGGGACAAGATGATTGAGTCACCTTTACATGGGAAGTAAGTGTACTCATTCAGAGGGCCTGGCATTGTGGAGAGTAGAGGGTGATTCCATGGTAACAGTATCTTTATTCCAGCTCTTTTTGACAGGCCATAAGCTCATAAAGATAGGAATTATATTCTTATGTGTCCTGTTAAGTCCTCAGGGGCTGGTGCTGTGCGTAGAACATAAGAGATGTTCGTAACAGACGCTTACTAAGTATTTGCTAATGGGATCAACCAATCAATTAATTAATTAATGGGGGACAAAAATCAGCAGACAAATAGCAAGGTGAAAAGAAACTAGGGCAATCCAAAACATATCTTCAAATTAAAAAAAAGAAGTTAAAATAGCTGTATTAAAAATAATCTGACCGAAGGTTGAGCCATCAGGCTTTGTTTTATTTTAAACGCTGTAGCACCCTCCATCCCTCCAAAGTGCTCACAAGCAAGTTTTTCGATTGTAATGCGTAAATTTCAACTAAATTTGCATCTCAATGCCCCAGTTTGTAGACCCCAGGAGTCTTAGGAAAAACAGACAGCGCCCCTAGTGGTAGTGGCGTGTTTTTGCAGAGGGAGGTTGGGGAGGCTAGGAGAAGGGGGTGGAGGTGGGATTGGTCCAGGAGCTGGGCTTTAGAGCAGGAGGAGGAGGAGAGGGAGGAGGAGCTGGCAGGGAGGTGAGAGAAGATAGGAGAGCAGAGCTGAGAAGGAGAAACGGAAAGAAGAGACGGCAAGAGGAGGAGGAAGAGGGAAGAGCATGTGGTCAGCAGGAACATTCTCTGGCTTGCCAACCCCTCGGGCCACCCGCACGTGCCTTCTGTGTCAGGAGAGACCCTCTGCATTCTGCCCTGGCGAAGCTCCAGCCAGATGCCCTGGTGCTGACTTTAGTAACAATGCTGCTCCGGCTGATAAAACCACCACGGGAACCTGAAAGCCTGCAAAATTCCCTCCGGGCTCGAGGAAAGCAGAACACCGCTCGGAGCACATGCGCCAAGACTGGGTTCAAGACTCCTCACCCCAGGGCCCCTGCTTCCTCGAAAGCTGAAGGGCGCTCCCACGTTTCAGCACTCCGTGCGGACTAGTGAATTAATAAAGGGGCTGATTAGGAACCGCGTTATGCCCCCAGACGCTTTTAGCTCTATGGTGGATCGATTTGCTGCGTGGACACTAAATGAAAATAATGAAGCCGCTTGCTGCCTTCTGATCCACTTCTGAGAGGACGCAGCATTGCCTGGGCCTGAAATTGGCCCTTGGCCAGGTACTTCCAAGAGCAGAGAGGAAGAGTCCCCCCTCCCCGCAGAAAGCTGGGGAAATGCAGCTGTACGGAGGCAGAAGGACAGAGGTGGGCCACCAAAGACATGCCTTAGATCCCGAACTAACACTTTAACGGCCGAAGGGATGCTGAGACCAAACCTCAGTGTAGTGTCTGAGGGCAAGTGTCAGACGTGATCCCAGGCTGAGGACACTCAGCCTTCCCTGGACGCGGTTTGTGCGATCTCAGCCAGGGCAGAAGAGGGGCTTCACTCAATGGCTCAAGAAACAAAAATAACAAACAAAGGCTGCCTCAGCTGTGAATCAGGCAACACAAACACACACACACACGCACGCGCGCACACACACACACACACACACACACCCCAAAGCAAATCTCAAAAGCACTTGCCCGTGTTTCCCTTGTTTCTCTGAAGAATTTCTCTCCAGCTGGAATTTTTCACGTTTTCTTAGCTCCAGAATCATTTTGACAGGATGCCTGTAGCAAGATGCATATGGAAAACCCATCTTCTCTTCTTGGTCTGGCCCACCTGTCTGCCCAGCCCCAGCACGGCATGAGCCCCGAAGGACATCACAGTCTTTAAGGGAGGCAGAGAATTGGAAAACCAGAAGTTACATTTAGATACCCACCCACGTGGAGGAAGAGGAGGCTAGAACTTAGCCCTGGGAGCCAAGGAGGTTTGAATTTTGAACCTACCTTTTCTGCGGAGGGAGTGAGACACAGAATCTGGATCGCTTTGAAGATGGGGCTAAGGATTTTCTGGAAGATCAGATGTGGGTTATGATGTTTTTACCCAGAACAACTAAACAGTGGAGATGCCATTAATCATAAGGTGGCAGGTGGGTAGAGAGGACCAAGGGTGTAGCTTTGGGAATGGCAGGTTGGCGATGCCTTTGAGGACTGTAATGGGGATGTCACAGCAGTTTTGTGCAGAAGAGTCTGATGGTCAAGGAAGGACACATGCATTTAGGAATCTTGGGCAGAGAGATTGTGTTGAAAGCCCACGAACCATGATGACAGAAAAAAAGAAGAGGTCTGAGGCCTGAGCCCCGGGGCCCCCAACACTGTGAGATAAGGAAGATAAGAAGGGACTAGCAAAGGACGCTGAGGAGTTGCCAGTGGTGTGGAAGTAAAGCCATGACTGGGCAGAAACCATGTGGGAGAGGTGTGGCAATCAACCGGGTAAGATCCAGACAGTGGGCCAAGTGAGGCCAGACAATGGGAGGGGTTGTCGGAGGCCTGGACAAGAGCAATGTCAGTGTCAAGGTGGTTCTGGGGGATTTAGAAAATGATGGGGAAGAAGTTGGAGGCAGTGAGTAGAGAGAACTCTGCAAATTTTTACAGCAAAAGGAAGGAGACAGGTGTAAAGAAATGTGGTGTCCCGGAAGACTTTCTCTAAGATGGGAAAAATAACCACAGCCCTCTCCTGACTTCCTTGAACCTACCACGCATCTTCCCCAACCTCCAGGCCTCATTCGTGTCGTCCCCTCTGTCCGGACGCCCCTCTCAACCCTTTCCGCGCCCCCCAGCCTCCCAGCACCCAAACCCATGCACCCACCACTAAAACACCCTTCCTCACTCTTTAGAAGTGAAGCTAGAAGTCACTTGCTCAGGGGAGCCTTCCCAGCCCCTCCAGATTTCATCAAAATGCTCCTCTCTCCTTGTTCCTACATCCTGTATGTTTCCATCATGTACTTTACTAGAATTGAGGCAGGGCACGTTTTGTGTGATGGTTTATTTAACATGTCACACACACACACCCTGCCTGGGCTGTCAGCCCTCGGATGGCTGGGACCTCCTGTCCTATTCATGAGAGGTTGCAGAAGCTCAGTGGATACTTCCTGTATTAGTTTACTTCCGCTGCTGTAACAAACCACCGCAAATTTAGTGACTCAAGACAACAGAAACTTACGATGTTACAGTTTGGAGGTCAGAAGCCCAAAATGGAGGTCACAGGGTTAAATCAAAGTGTCAGCGCGGCTGTGTTCCTTCTGGAGGCTGTAGGGGAAACTCTGTTTCATTCTGGCTACTAAAGGCCACCTGCATTTCTTGGCTGGTGGCTCCTTCCCCCGTCTTTAGAGCCCGTGGTCACCCTGCTGTGACTTCCGCTCCTGCCTGATATCACATTGCCTTCTCCAACTTTCCCGCCTCCTCCTTTCACTTATGAGGACGTTTGCGATTACTTGGAGCGCACCCAGCTAGTCTAGGGAATCTCCCCACCTCAGGATCGTTAACTTCATCACATCTGCAAAGTCCTTTCTGCTCTGGAAGGTAAGATACCATGGGTTCCAAGAATTAAGACCTGGACATCTTCTGCAGGCAGTGGAATGGGAAGCCACAGGAAGGTTTTGCACAGAGTGGGGACATGATCTGACTTCCCCCCGAATGGGATCACTCTGGCTGCCATGCAGGGGATGGGGGGGGGGTGAGGCGGAGAGCAAGCAGGTACATTATTCTGATACAACCACCGGGTGGAAGCCAACAGTGGCTCAGGCCAGGATGCTGACAGACAAGAGTTAAGACTCCCAAATCCATGTGGAAGGTGTAGCCAAAATTTGTTGATGCTCTGGGGAACAGTTGGGGTTTCTTCTTTGAAGGAATAAAGTAAGCGTTCGTTTCAAAGATTCATCGAAACCGATCTACTCCTTAAAGGGTGTCTGGTCACACCCATCCCGGCACCTGCCACCTGCCGGGTGCTCAGTAAACATGTTGATTGCCCAAATGCATGATCCACAGGGAGAAAGGTAGCGTCCTCAAGGCTGCTAAACCAGGCAGAGGTCGTCCTTTGTGTGAGCCGGGAGCGTGTTTCAGGAAGCCCCTGTCTTCTGGAAGAATAAACACCAGAGCTAACGTGGTTGCCTGGATCTATTTCAGCTGCTAGGCGAAGACCGGTTTCAGGACATTGAAAAGATTAAGACCATCGGCAGCACCTACATGGCCGTGTCGGGCCTGTCACCTGAAAAACAGGTAAAGGAACACCTTGCATTCAGCTGCACCATATGGCAGGGGCCACACTCTTGTCGGGTCACTGAAGACAGAGAGGCCGTCGTCACCAGGCTGCCTGGGGACCGGTAGGGAGGAAATCTGATGAACTGGATATTCTAGTCATGTGACGTGCATTTGCTCCCGAGGGAATGAGGGTCTACTGGATGCAATGATGCCTCTACGACCCAGAAACCTCTAGGCTCCATGCTGAACGTCATTGTTGACTTGATGGACAAAATACCCTGGCCGAGAAATACCCTGATTATGATTTAATTGTGAGTGTCACCAAATCCCCAATACCAGCCTGTTTTCTTGTGTAAGTAGGACGTAAGAACGATAATAGCTTCTGTTCTTTTGAGGGCCCCGTGTCGGGCACCATCGTTAAGTGAGAACACTAGCACTTACCTTCCAGCGTTAGTGGACGCAACAGCATTATGCTCTCTACACCCAGTAGGTGCTCAATGCACCCAGTAGGTGCTCAATAAATGCTACGTGCATATGAGTCTAAGTTCCTGGGAAGAAGGAATCCTCATGCCTTCTTCTCATCCTTCCTTTGTTGACTTTCCAACTAAACACCTAAAAACATTCCAAGAGTAACTATCTGGGAAGAAAACCATACTAGTAATCGGTTACCTGTGCATGGCACTTGAGAGCAGGGGTCCACAAAGTACATCCTGCCTGCCAAACCTGACCCATCATCTGTTTCTGTAAATACAATTTTATTGGAACACAACCACACACACACACACACACACACACACACACACACACACACATTACATATATTTTCTCTTCGGCTCCTTTCAAGCTAAAATGGCAGTTCTGAGTAGCCCTGAGGAGGCCCAAAACGTTTGCTCTCTAATCCATTACCGAAACTACTTGCCAACCTCTGCTCTGGAGGGGTACCAAGTTCTTTCGCATGCACAATCTCATTCAATCCCCGGGAGGTGGGGAGGTAGGCTGGGCAAGGATGCTGATCCCCATCTTATAGGCGAGGAGACGGAGGTTCAGAGAGGCACAGAGGCTTACTCCGCACCCCCCTCAAGGTCCGTGACCAAATGTCGAAGCAAATGTGAAACATCCCTTGAACAGACAGTGTGAGTACTTGAAAGGAAGTACACGTTTCCTAGATGGAAACACGACACATGCAAACATAAACACGCGCACACGCGCACCAGTGAGCACAGTCAGGAATTCATAGTGTGGCCGCCTGAATACACAAGTGTCGACGTGGGGAAAAGAATCTGATAAGCCGCACACATTACACTGAGTTAAGCAAATCTCCTGCCATCCTGTGTTCGGGGACACTGCCGATGGGGGTGTTCGGGGGCTCCCACACCTGGCCGTCTTCATCCCAGGGATGTGCAGGTGGGTTGGGACGTAGCGCGGGGCTCCCCTCTGCTGCAGAAAGGTCCACGTTCACCACAGTGAGTGAGTTCTCTCACTTGTGCTCCAGCAATGTGAAGACAAGTGGGGACATCTGTGTGCCCTGGCCGACTTCTCCCTCGCCCTGACCGAAAGCATACAGGAGATCAACAAACATTCCTTCAACAATTTCGAACTCCGGATTGGTGAGTAGCAGCTGGAGGTGTGGCCCCCTCCCTCCCACCCCCCGCCTCCCTCCCTGGCCTGGCTCCATCAGACCCCTACCCCACTCCCTGCCCCATGCCCTGGGCACCCTGGGCCGTGGGGAGCTTTCTCCTACAACACGCAGCAGGCTTAGCATGACCTCGCCAAGGACAGGGACGGGGACAGCGTCAGCTCAGGCCTGTCTAGGCTTCCTCTTGCTCTGGGTGCTGGAAGCCAGGGAAGCCTGCTGGCCTGGGTGCAGACATACACAGCAGGCCCTACACCATAGCCACCCTTCCTCCAGCTCACTTGTGCAGTGCCCCACCCGCACAACACCCTGCTGAGGGAGGGAGCTGAGTCATCGCTCATTCACTCTGTCCCATGTCCTTGGTCAGTGTGTTGGTCTCCAGTCCTTCTGGATATGCCTTAAAGCAAAAGCAAGATTGCACTCCCAAAGATGTCAGATACTGTGGTGTGCAGGGACGGCAGAGAGGCTCCTAGCTCCTCACTTGGCCACACAGCTCACCCTTCCTTGCGCTCAGAGACCCCCTCGTGCAGCACAGCAATGCAACAGAAACCACAGCCAGGTGAATAGTGACCCTTTATACTTTGTATAACTCGCCAACTTCTTTGGCATCTCTGCTGCTTCTCGAAGGCCCCCCTACAGCATGGTCTGAAAGCCATAAACTCAGGCCCAGAGAAGGGGGGTGATAGCTTCCGATCACACAGCCAAGCGGACACCCTGGAGGCAGCCCCAGGACTTCCGGACAGACCAGGGACGTCTGGCTGCCGGGCTGCAGCCTAAGACGGCCTTTGCCACAGTCTTCGTATTTTACATCTCCTCTGGCCTTCATGCCATTTTACTTAACTTGGCTCTCCCTCACCAGCTTTCGAGAAAAAAACAGTCAAGAAATACCAGTATCTGACTTGTCAGATCTTTGTTCATATATAAAAGCTCTATTTTATGTTCTTGGTCTATGGATGGGATGTTTAAGGCTTGTTCCCGCATCTTCCACTGACCCTACGTGTCTTTGCTGAAATCCTTTGACCACACAACGGAACCAGGACTAAAAACCAGAACTTTAACCCTGAACAAAGGCGGGAGATGTCGCTGGGCTCAGGGCCGACCCTTGGTGTGAAATCTCACAGTGCTGGCATAGATCAGAGGTTAGAAGATTATTTTCCCCATTTCACGGGGCACCTCTGTTTGTGTCTGGGGTCAGCTGTGGCCACCTCTGTGAAGTTGGGCCAATCATTCCAACCCTCTGCAGGTCAGTTTCCTCGTGTGCAAGTTGGGCGTGATATTATTACCCCCACCCCTGCCTGCCTCGTAGCAGTAACGAGGGATCACACGGGGTGATGCCTGTGAGGGGCTCCGCAAGGCGTGGAGGGAGCCCCATCACTGTGATGCCCACACATTCTGTAGGGTCTGCTTCTCTGATTTCTGTTTATTTTGTATGGGGCGGGGAGGGGTTGTACTTCCTTCCGCCTAGAATGATCCAACCCAGACATCTGCATGGCTTGTCCCACCACATTCTTCAGATGGCTGCTCAGAAAGGCCCTTCCCTAGCCACCTTCCTCCAAAATGCCGCCTCCCACCTCTCTCTTCCTTTAACCTGACCGGGTTTTCGTTCTAGCCTCTATTATTCATTGATATTGTATTACTTGTTTTGATATTTCCTTCTCTCCAGGTGAAGGTAAGCCCCATGAGGGTTGGGGCTCTTGTCTCTTTTCTTTCCCACCCATTGCCCCGGTGCCTGGAACAGTGCTGGTACCTAGCAGGTGTCTAGTCAATTTAGTAGAATACACGAGAAATTCAAAGTCCAATAGAAGGAGACCTACGTGCTCACCAACGTGTTTGGTGAAATGCTATTATTCCTGGCAGAGAAGTCTACGTCTCGTAAAGGAGGAGGCGTCGAAGATGTCTTAAAAGGCATTTGCCAAATGAGATGTGGGGGTTGGGCAGAAATGATAGTCCAAGCAGAAAGAAAGGCAGGGACAAAGGCACAGAGGTGGGCGACGGCCGGCAGGTGAGGGGGGACTCTAGCGGGTCAGTGCGGACACAAAGGTGAAGGAGAGGGTGGCGGTGAAGGAGGCTGACAAAGCAGGACGAGCCAGGTTCGAGGAGCCCTTGGCTGTGATCCCAAGGGGCCTGGGCTTCATCCTACAGGCAAAAGGGGCCGGGGCAGGTGTTGAAGCGGTTGGAACTTGGCCAGATGCGCACCAGCCCTCTTGCTGGGGTGGGAGGCGTGGGGGCTGGTCTGCTGGAGGACAAGGGAGGAGGCAGGGAGGCCCGTTGGGAGGCTTGTGCCACGGACCAAGGGAATGACGCTCAGGCCCTGGACTAAAACAGAGAAGGCAAAGGTCTACCCAGGCTCTCAGAGCACTGCAACAGCGGAGGCTGGAGGAGACCCCAGCGTCCTGACTCGTGGCACAGTGCTCCATCGGTCCCACGGGCTACGTCAGCGTCCTGGTGAAAATTCTCCTAATTTGCTCGGGAGCAGTCCCTGGTAGTCAGGCACCATGCCAAGGCTTTCCTCCCGTTATCTCATTCCATCTTCCTTCTACTCTGCACGTGGGAAAAGTGAGGTCCACCCAGGCTAAGTAACTGACCCAGGCCGCTCACCCAGTGAGCGGCCGAGGCGGGATCCACAGAGACCATACCTTCCCTGCTCACTGTCCCAGGCAGGGGTGCAGCCACCTCGGTGATGTCCCTCTTCTCTTACCTCTCGCTCCTTTGCTCGCTCGCAGGCATCAGTCACGGCTCCGTGGTAGCTGGGGTCATCGGCGCTAAGAAGCCACAGTATGACATTTGGGGCAAAACTGTGAACCTGGCGAGCCGAATGGACAGCACAGGGGTCAGCGGCAGGATCCAAGTCCCCGAGGAGACCTATCTCATCCTGAAGGACCAGGGCTTTGCCTTCGACTACCGAGGGGAGATCTACGTGAAGGGCATCAGTGAGCAGGAAGGGAAAATCAAAACGTACTTTCTCCTGGGAAGAGTCCAACCCAACCCGTTCATCCTGCCCCCGAGAAGACTGCCCGGGCAGTACTCACTGGCCGCAGTCGTCCTGGGCCTTGTCCAGTCCCTCAACAGGCAAAGGCAGAAGCAGTTGCTCAATGAGAACATCAACACAGGGATCATCAAGGGCCACTACAACCGGCGGACTTTGCTGACACCCAGTGGGCCAGAGCCCGGGGCCCAGGCTGAGGGCGCCGACAAGTCCGATTTGCCATGAAAGCATTTTCTTTGTGTTTCCTTTTTTTGTATTTCTTTTATATATAAAATAAATATACTAATAAAAAGGTTTAATTTTTTTTAGAACAAGGATGGTTTCATTGGTCTTGGGATACACTAGACTGAAGACAGGATTTGAGCTTCTCCTCAAATCAGAGACATTTATCGATCACCTCGAATGCACGAGGTTCTTTGGGAAGCACAGATAAATAAGACCTGCTCCCTTGACCTTGAAAGGCTCACAACTGAGTATGAAAGAGGGACGTGTAAGCAGACACTCGACACAAGTGCCCCTTATTACTTTTTCATGTTTTATTTATTGGGGAGAGACAGAGAGCATAAGTAGGAGAGGGGCAGAGAGAGGGGGGAACAGAGGATCCAAAGCAGGGTCTACCCAGCCAGGCTGACACCAGCGAGACCACCGCGGGGCTCGAACTCACAAACCGCGCGATCATGACCTGCGCTGAAGTTGGACGCTCAACCGACTGAGCCACCCAGGCGCCCCTGTCGAGCTCTTGTCACGCGCAGGACACAGTGCCAGACCCTTTACGTAATGACCTCACGCGACCCTCACGGTACTGTGTGCATGCCCTCAGCCAGCGTGTGTTGAGCTGTGCCTGTACTTTCCTAAGCTCCAGAGAAATCCTGGCAAAAGTCTGGCCCTCGCAGAACTAGCAGTCAGCGTGGGGATAATCCATAACGTTCCTCTAAACCAACACATAAGCAATCTACTTCCAGATAGGGGTAGATGCCGTAGAGAAAATTGGGGCGGACAATTGGGATAGAGAATTGGAGGTCGGGGATGCCGTGTAACTGGGATCTACAAGGAAGGCCTCTTTGAGGACTTCCTGTTGAAGATTAGCCCTAAACAATGAGAACGAAGCACCCTGGGAGGAGAGTGGCCCCATGGGAAGGAACGGCAAGGGCAAAGGCCCCGAGGTGGGATCAAACCCACGTGATCTGGTGGAGGACCAGCTCCAAAGGCAGTGGGTAGGGAAGCTGTTGCAGGCAGGTTCACTCTCCCCCGGAAAGACTGCCTCCTGAGATCTTCTCCTGTGACCACAAAGACTTCCAGCAAAGTTTCATGCAGATGAGAGAGCTCAGAAAAGTAAAGGATTTTCCCCAGACCGTATAATTAGTTGTAGAACCGGGATCAGAACCATAGGGGTCAGCCAAGGCTGACCGGTATTGAGAATCACTCCCATGTTAGTGGCTAAAACACGATGAGATTTCTGTCATTCGTGTCCTATGGGGCGGGGGGCGGGGGGCGGTGGGGGCTCCATACAATGATGTCAGGGCTTAACCTCCTTCCTCTCAGGACGTAGAGCTTTCTGCCTGATCCCCTGTGTCCAGCCTGCTGAGAAGGCAGGAAGGAAGGAGCGTCACTCAGAAGATCTTAGGTACCTGGCCTGGAAGTGGCACATTAGTGCCGTCACCAGCCCGAGCTCCGTCACTGGCCCCCCTCACTCCAGGGGAAGTTAGGGAATGGGGTCTCCCTGTGTTCACTACTAAGAGTAAAATGAAACACAGCGAGGAGCATAATCTCTTCCGTAAGAATCGACACTCGTCTAAGTCCATCTTTGCCAACGCGGAGCTGCTCTGGTAAGTTCTGTGTTGGGGGAACGTACAAGGTTTAAGCAATGGAAGGAGAAGGATGAAATCCCGACCATTCTCTAAACTCTTGCACTCTTAACGACAGCCATTTAGAAGAAACGTACCTCCAGTGGACATGCTTTCAAGGAAGTACCTGCCCAGAATATTTCAGGTGAGCCCCCCTCCCAAGGTAGGAGAGAGACTACGGTCTCCAGAGAAGCACGACGCACAGAGGCGGGGGACCCTTGAACTTTGAGCCATGTGGGTAATGGCCTTTGCTCTCAGAAACTATACACCTACCCGAGAACTACCTGAGGTCCCAACGGAATGAGAAGACGGCATCAGGTGAACTGTAAAGTCCTTCTGATGCCAGGGTTCATCATTATCTTCACAGACGCAGAGGAAGCCTCCTGGTTTATTCAGGCGAGTTTCTGAGGACACTGAAACAAAGTAAAGCCCAGGGGGTGCTGAGACTTGGAGCCGCAGAGAAGAGGAGGGAAGCTGGGGGTCTGGGGCTGCGGCAAACATCCCGGCAAAGAGGCCGGCCTCGGCGACGGCAGTCAGGCTGTGACAGCACTGTCTCCCAAAGACAGAGAAGACTTGATGCGGGCCATCAAGCTTTGGTCTGATCCGGAGGGCAGGATCCTTCTAGATTCTATGGGCGGCATGCAGCAGACAGGCCACGGTGAGATGGATCCAGTCCCAGGGAAAGAGATTACCCAGCACAGATGTTGTCCCCAAGCTCTGAGCTGGAACTCAGGACCCAGTCCCTGGACTAGAAGAATGTCATCCTAAGCAAGATAACTGGGCAGGAACCAAAGGAGGAGGCATGAAGCCAGACCCAGGCTCCTGGATACTGCCACTTCGGGGGTGAAACTCCACCCAGAACCTGTCGCTGACTCAGTGATGACGAGCCCTAAAGTGAAACAGGCTTCACGGAGGAGACGGGGGTGGGGGATGGGACACGTGGCTTCCTTCAGGGCTCCATTAAACAGAGGAGCACAGGCACCTGGGTGGCTCAGGGGGCGAGGTGTCTGACTCTTTGTTTCGGCTCAGGTCATGATCTCACGGTTTGTGGGTTCAATCCCTGAGTCGGGCTCTGTGCTGACCGTGCAGAACCTGCTTGGGATTCTCTCTTTCTCCCTCTTTCTCTGCCCCTCCCCCACTTGTACATGTATGCTCACTCGCTCTCTCTCTCTCCAAATAAATAAAAACCCGAAAATAAATAAACAGAGGAGCAAGGAGGCACAATGGTGCCAAGAATCCTCACTGAATTATCAAGAACCCTACCCAGTGGACATCTGAACTCTGCTCCAATTTTTTCTGGCCCCAAAGCGTTGGGTCCCTGCCCCCGGGTCAGCCCATTCCGTGGCCCCAGCGGGTCTGCAGAGACAGAACCGGGAGACTGGCCTGTGGTTGATGTAACTAAGAGGCACGCCTCTTCTCGGGCCTTGTGCAAGGCTGGAGGGGGTGGTGAAGAAAGACAGTCTTCTTGAAATGAGAGAGCTGTTTTCTGTTTGCCTACTTTTTTGGTCTGTTCATCTCATTTACAAAAAGAACTTCAAATGTCAAGTGATTTCTGGGAACCTGTTCTTAACTCCAAAACAAACCTGGCATCCTGTTCCAGCCAGGGGCTCCAACCTCATGTTTCCCCCCCACCCCCACTGAATTCTGCTTGTGAAATTTTGGATTTGATCTTAGGAATGCCAACTGTAAAAACTCTGGCCAAGGAAACAGTGCCCCAAATGGTGAAATACAAAGAGAAACACAGAACAGGGCCTGGCTTAGTCTACAGACGTTCAGGCCCAATAGACGGGCTTTCTCAACAGCTGTGTATTCTGGACAGTGATGACATCTTTTGTCGCGCCCCCCAACTGCGTTTATCAGCCTGTGTGGGTGATGCATGCCTTCCCCAGAGATGAACACAGCCCCTCTTAGGGAAGAGGTAAGTTATTCCTCCAAGGGCTGGGTCTGAGCCCCGGCTGCCTCGCATTCTGCCCTCCCGTAAAGTCAGGCGGATCACCTGGAGGTCAGAAATGCTCCCCCACCAGTTCCACTGCCTCCCTCCTTCAGTTGGAAGTGAGTACTGTGCTGTCATCACCATTTCACAGAGGAGGAAGCTGAGACGCAGAGCTCCTGAGCGACTCACGCTGTAAGGTCTTCGACCCAGCAAAGAGTGGCAATAGGATTCAAACTCAGGAGCTCTCGTTCCAGAGTCCTGCCCTTAAGCACCACTGCCTAGCCCTGTGGTGGGCGAACGATATTCATTAAATGAAAGTTGAAAGTGGGAGCAGATTCCCTGGCGGGCAGAGAAGATGGGTGAGCCAGGGCAGAATTCTGGAACAGCAGTCAGGGGGGACAACCCAGCCAGCACCACTCGCCCGGACCGTCGACAGCCTCCCCTTCCACCCCAGGAGGTCAGACAGCCTCTGACTCTTTGCAGGTTGTGATGTGGAGACGGTCGGGGACAGAACATACTGGGCTGAGAGCCCCGAGGGCAATTCCTGGAGGTACACAGGCCGCGGTTTGAATCCCGTCCCCCCCACCACTTGTCAGTGGTTTGATGTTGGGCCAGTAGCGTAAGTCGTGCCCCCCAGGTTCTTCCCCTGCCCCACGAGGATGGCAACGGAAGCCGCTGCGATTTGGCAATTTTGAAGCTTTCAGATCTGAGAAACATGGTTAAAATATCATACACTAGGAAACACCCCAAAAATGTCTGCGGCACTGCTCAGTAATTAGATAAATGGTTGTCCACCCACAACGCCTCGTAAGGCTGCCGTACGGATGGCAAGCGACCGAGTGTCTCGTCACCCAGCAGCCTGGCCCTCTGCCACACCCCAGCATAGCTTGTCATCGACATCACACATGAAGGTTGTTCTGAAATAATGGGCATTGGTCACTCCCCTTTGTCTTGGGGAAAGCCTTGTTTCTTTGTCTGCATTTACAAAATTTGCTTTAAAGAGTGTACATTACTTTATAATGAAAACAATGAGGGCCGCCTGGGTGGCTCAGCCGGTGAAGCATCCAACTTCACAGTCCAGGTCATGATCTCACAGTCCGTGAGTTCGAGCCCCTTGTCCGGCTCTGTGCTGACAGCTCAGAGCCTGGAACCCGCTTCGGATTCTGTGTCTCCCTCTCTCTCTGCCCCTCCCCTGCTCACGCTATGTCTCTCAAAAATAAATAAATGTTAAAAATAAAAATGATAAATAAAATGCATAATAAATTTATTTTTAATAAATAATAATAATGATAAAAAGGTATAATTAAGCCAAAGTAAAGCATGTGGATTGACCTGAAGAGCTGCAGAGGATTTCACTGGACCCTTGGGGATCCCACCCTGAGCCAGAGGGTCTGGAGCCCTCCCGGAACAGAGGTGGACAGACACCTTGCCGAGAGAGCCAGCTCGAC